AGGGTTTAAGGTTTAGGGTTTAGATTGCTGTCTTCAATATCGATTTTCACTACGACTTGTATTGTTGGTACTATGAACTATGAACATTATGGGTGTTCTGTTTGATTCGGAGGGTTCGACAAGGTCTCTATAGGCCTCTCTGCAATCTCCATGGCGGTTTAGAAGGTGTTGTACGGATGTTAAACTAAGGTTTCTACTGTACTGGGGTACCACTGTGCTTATCGCACTTTAGGCTTCATAGGGGTTTTGTAGGCTTCAAGATGTTGCAATGCTTTCCTGGCTTCGCAGTTCAGGAGCTTCTTGCATTGACTTGAAGAAGGGCATGGGCCTGCAGAGATGAGATGTCCCACCTGAAGACCGGACGTTACAGGTTTCTGGATCAGGGGCCCTAAGCCCTAAACCCTAAANNCCTAAAGCCCTAAAACCCCTAAAAACCCTGAACCCTGAAACCCTAAAACCCTAGAGCCCTAAACCCTTAAGCCCTAAAACCATAAAGCCCTAAAACCCTAAAACCCTGAACCCTAAAACCCTAAAGCCCTAAAGCCCTAAAGCCCTCAAACCCTAAAGCCCTAAAGCCCTCAAACCCTAAAGCCCTAAACAGCAGGACCTGCTGGAGGTCTGACTTCGCTTCGGCTCCCGACCCCTCCTCGGCTCAGCAGACATCTGGGGTAGTTCTCTAAAGTAGGTCCCTTTTGGGGGTCCTTTAAAGGGGTCTATTTGGGTTCTATAGGGGTAGTTCTCTGAAGTAGGGTCCCTTTTTAGGGTCCTGTTGAAGGGGTCTATAAGGGTTCTATAGGGGTAGTTCTCTAAAGTAGAGCCCCTTTTGGGGTCCTTTTAAAGGGGTCTATAAGGGGTTTCTATAGGGTTTCTATAAGGGCACTATAAGGGTTCTATAGGTGTAGTTCTCTGAATTAGGGTCCCTTTTGGGGGTCCTTTCTATAAGGGTGCCGTACTGTATTGGGGACCCAAAGAGACCCTAATTCAGAGAACTACCCATCTAACATGTCGAGCGCACGGTGCTTGGACAGGGCTTCATACAGAGCTTTTTGGGGCCTCAAGGGTTAGAATTGGGTTCTTGGGGCCCGTTATATTATAACCCTAAACCCTAAACCCTAAACCCTAAACCCGTTATATATTATACTATAATTATCATAAGGAATCCTCAAAGTCGCAGTGGTAATCATTTAGGCCCCTACGTTGATGATAAACCTTGGGGTCTTCTGGGCCTTGTCGGCTTGGGGGTCCGTGTCTCGGGAGCGTCCGTAGCACCGACGAAGTCATGTAGACAAAGCCTAAACCATAAATCGCAAGCGGAAACATCCTCATTCTTGACGGGCCACGCATGGGGGTCCGGGTTCCGGGTTCAGACGATATGTTTTTGGCGGTTTGGGGGCCCACCTATACACGCAGTCGTAGCATAGTCTTTTGGGGGCGGGGAGATACCTCAGGATTTAGGCAAGAGGCCAGGCGCTGCTGCAGCTGCATCCTGCGATCGGACTCCGACTTGAGCTCCTGTGCCTAGGATTCCGGAGCTCGCCCCGTGCTATTTTCGAGCAGGACTTGTCAGAGAATTCATGATTCATGAAGGCTTGGAGTTTCTACTGGGAAAATCCCAAAGTAGGGCATGTATTCGATGGTGTCTGACTGCACTGTACCAGAGCCCAAACAAGATGACCAGAACGAACATCGGCTGAGCATCTCGCCGCCCTGCTGGCGTTCTAAGCTTCGGAGAGAGGAGCCCTCCCTGCCCTAACAGAACGAACTGCCGTCCGCGAAACCTTGAAGTCCCAACTTCCCGGGGAAGTTCAACTCATGCAACCCCTGACTATGTTCATTGCTTTACAAAAGCTGCACAGGGACCTGTCAAGAAATGCTTCAAGCTCAGCTGGTTCATCCTTGCATCACGTACCCTGACCGAGTTGCGGAGGCTTAGGCTTTGTGTGGCTTGAGGGCTGAACGATTCGCGATGAACTCATAGTAAGCTTTCATACTGATGGCTACCTTGCGTGTTAAGCCTTAGCTGGTTTAGAGCATCCGTTAACTATTCTCGACCTTCCACTGGAATGCAGCCAAAGATCCAAGCTGCGCATCTCAGCCTTGCGGACGACCCGACGACGAGAAGCTAAACTTACAACCTGCCTAACCCGAAACCTTGAGCCCGTCAGCCCCGCTACGTACACAAAGCTGAACCGGTCTCTTGTTTGAGGTGGTACGCAGACGCAGCACGCACACTGTTTTGACAGGTGTGCGCTGAGTGCATTCGCGACAGCCCATAGGGTTGAAGGCTCACTGGTCTTATCTCTGAAGGTTGACGCCGCAGGCTTTGATGTCTCAGCCTTGGGCCCCGAATCTATCTTACATAGATAGAAAGGGAGAAAGAGAAAGAGAAAGAGCGAGAGAGAGAGGGACAAAGACAGACAGGGAGAGAGCGAGAGGGAGACAGACAGGGAAAGAGCGAGAGAGGGAGACAGACAGGGAGAGACAGAGAGACGCAGACAGAAAGAGGGTAGATAGCAAGCTAGCTAGGTAGTTAAGTAGGTAAGTGCAAAGATAAGTGGACAGAAAGATAATGCAGAGGGACACATAGATGGATAGATAGATAAACAGACAGACAGGCAGGCAGGCAGGCAGGCAGATAGATACATGGATACGTCGGCTGACAGACAAACAGACACACAGACGGACAGATAGACACAGAGAGCGAGGGAGAGATAGATAGATAGATAGATCGATAGATAGGTCGATAGATAGATCGATAGATAGATCGAAAGATAGACCGATAGACAGACAGACAGATAGACAGTTAGATAGACAGACAGATAGATAGGATGGATAGATAGATGGATAGATAGCTAGATAGATACGCGTGTCTCATGTGTAAACATATGTGTGTATATATATATATATGCATGTGTATACCTATGTGCATATTAGAGTGCGTATAAATATATATATATATATATATATATGTGTGTGTGTGTTGGTGTGTGTGTGTATACCATATATATATATATACATATACGCATATGCGCCGGGAATGCGCATGCAAGTCCCCAGGAGATGCTTCAACAAACACTGAGATTCCAGATGCAGACCGCTCTTAGTTAGGAGGTGCAAAATTCCCGCAGCAATACATCTCTGGGCCCCTGTTTCGCGAAACCCCAGAATCCGAACCCCACTTGCCAAGTTTGCAACATCCCACCCTACAACTCGGAAACCAATCCACCAACTTAGCCATGCGACCCTCCCACAAACCAAATCCCCCCCCCTCAAACGAAAAGCCGCACAAGCCCTCAGACCCGAAAAGCGGGCCGACACCCGAAACCCCAAACCCTCAAAGCTCTCCCTCTCTCACACGGACTCGAGTCGAGCATGCCCCTGAACCCTAAACCCTAAACCCTAAACCCTAGACCCTAAACCCAAACCCTCAAAGCTACCCCATTTAAAACGAAGCTGCCTTGCAATCCTCCGCGAGCCGACTGCGACTGGCGCTCTCGTTGCTGATCCTTGGCCCGAGCGCGGCTTGTGCGGTTTTCATGCGTTTCCTATCAGAGTCAGTCGGAGCCTATGGGGTTTCAAAGGGTTGTATCTGTTTTCAAGGGCTTACAAATTTTCTTTAGGGTTTATGAGGTATGTGACAAGAATCCTACTAGGGGTCCATGGTTCTCTGGCTGTAGGGTTTTGAGTGTTACTCTCAGGTCGAGGCCTTTGAAGATTACGGGTTTGGGGGGTTTTAGGCTGGGCCGGCTTAAACTTCAGCGCGTCTTGGCGCGCAAGGTTGTGGGTCAGAAGCAAACCCTAAACCCTCAAAGCCCTAACCCCTCAAAACCTTTTTTGCATCAGGGCTTGCGCCCTAACCCTTAACCCCTAAAAGTCTTAAAGCCCTAAACGCTTTCGGATCCAGGCAAGATGCGGGTTGCTTTGCTTGGACGGGCTCGGGGTTGCGATTTCGAACCCGGGGCCTGGCTTTTTGGGCGATCCTGGCCCCAAACTCCTCTAGCCCTACGCGGGGCGGTTCCTTTCCGAACATTAGGGTTTAGGGTTTAGGGTTTAGGGGTTTAGGATATGGGGTTTAGGGTTTAGGGCTAATAGCACGTATGCCAGCGGAAACGGCTCTCTTGAACGGCAGGAGTCTCTGGAGGAAGAGCCTGCCCTACAAATTGAGTCCTTGAGCGCACACGAGCCGTTTTCGACCCCAAGTCCTACATGGCTTTTTAGGCATGAGCCGAGCGCCAAGTATCTGCTTCTCATTCACGTTGCAACGTTGCATGCAGCATACGATGCCCAAAGAAGCCAGTTTTAATCGTTGTCAGCCATTCATTCTGAGCATATTGGGCAAAGAGACAAATCCTAAGAAACACTGTACACTTCTAAAGCCCCGGTGAGGTGCAAAGTCCGGACTTCTCCAAAGCAGCGCAGACCTGGGAGCAGCGGGATACATAGACTCTTTCAGTGGTCATTTCTGGGCTTCAATTTTCCTGAGCTTTTTGCCACACCCTGAACTGGTGCTCAAAGCTCACAGGGCAGATCTCGATTTGGGATCTTCTTCCGTTTAGCTTTAAGAGATCTCCTGGCAAGCCGCTCTCGTCAGCCTCGCGCTGACGGGCCTCCAGCTGAGCCTGGCGAGTCCGTGCTTCGAGTTCAGGATTTGTGGTTCAGGCTCTAGGGTTCGGCTTTAGGGCTTGGGTTGAGGTGCGATTTTTTCGGACAGGCTCTGATTTTCCAACCATTGGATTTCAGGTTTCGAGCGCAGTGCTGGAGATGTCGGAGGGTTTGGGACACAGGCACTTGGAAGACAGGCTTCTGCAATATAGGGGCCTTAACAATTAGAATAGGGTTTTGGGGCCTGTTATACTATAATGTATAATAAGGAACACTCAAAATGATATTGGTAATTCTTTAGGCCCCTACAGTAAGCACAGCCCTTGTACAGGATTCAACTCTTCCCAGCATAATGGACTTGATGTGTTTCTCTGTGGCGATGTGGGAGGAAGTCGCGCTTGGAGAGGCAGCAGCGTCGACTCGCAAATCGCAACTTCCGGATCTCAAGAGGTCTGGCTCGTGTTTTCGTGCTTCGGGTCCTTAATAATCATAGTATACTTATAATAAGGAACCCCCAAAATAGTATAGGTAATTATCAAATATTATCAATGCCCCTATATTGAATCTGCTTCCGGGCTTTTTTTCGCTGAACGTTTGCGCATCCACGCGCATGTCGAGATGCCGGGCTGAGCCCAAAACCCTAAACTCCTGAACCCAAAAGGCCTGACAGTCGCGGCTTTAAGAGGGCGGGTAAGGTCGGTTGAAGCTCAGTGGCTTATAGTTTCCGACGGTTTTGGGGATGTAAGGCTTATAAGGGATTTGGAGTTTAGTGGGCTTGAAGGCTTTAGGAGGGAGCGGGTTACAGGTCAATGCGGTTTCTAAGGCTTATACCCTGGGCCCTACAAATGACCAAACACTCTAGGACTCATGGCTTTAAAAAAACCCTTTCTTTTACCCCTGGACTATGCATGGCTTCATAAACCTTTTTTGAACCCAGACTCTGTTGATCAGCTGGGATGCAGCACTGCATGATTTCACACAGCCCTTCATAAACCTTAAGCTCGAAACCCATGGCAGTTTATCAGAAGGAGGCCTGCAAAGATTCCTTCAACGTGGCCACCTTCTGCTCCAGGGCCTCTGTCTGCCCGGCTTGAACTGCTTGAACCTCTCAGAGGGGACTGACGGATTAGGGCCATTAGGGCTTATAGGGTTTAGAAACCCTAAACCCTAAACCCTATATAGGGTTTAGGGCTTCTTGGGGTTACGGAATGCGGATCCTTCAAGTTTCGTTGCTCGCCCTCGGACACACTATGCGACGGCTGGGGTGAACAATGAAGCCGGCCTACTACTGCAAATTGCCGCGTCATCTTTTGTTTTGGGGGAGACAGGATTTCAGTAGGCTGGCAGTTAGGGTTTAGGGGTCAGTTATTTTTCAACAACTTAGCAAGGGACTATAGAGGATAAGGCCTGGGATCTTAGAGATTGTGTGGGCGGATTCCCGTCAAGACCTCCTAAAACGAACCAAGTGCCTCTGAGGTGGTGTAGATTGGATCGAAAGGATTCAGGATTTAGGGTTTCGGGTTTAGGGATTCAGGATTCAGAGCTTCCGGCCTCCTGGACAAAGTCAGTCTAAGGCTAAGGGATTCTGCCCAAACCCTTTGCGGGAATTTCAATAAACAGGTGATCCAGATATAGACGCTGAAGACTGGTACTTTTAGTACTTCTCAAGCCCTCGAAGCTAGTTACCTTCATAGTCCTTCCGCTCCAGAACACACCCTTTCTTGGAGTCTGTTGTGCACCCTGAACATCCCTAAGCCCTAGATGTCAAATCTCTACATTCCTCCAACCAAACTTTCTAATTCTTGAAAACCTACTATAATATTTGCTACACTCTACTATACCATACTATAACTATACTATACTGTACTATACTAT